AGAATGAATCTGCAAAACAATTTCAGTTTTGTAGACAAATCTATTAATCAGGGCAGTGAATACTAGGATTTACACAAAAATAACGGGGCGACTGTAAGTGATATTAAACATTTGGTAGCAATTACAACATGGCAAAGTGTTTGTTCTCTCCCACCTCCGTCAGAAACAAAATATTTAAATAGAGACATAATGAACGCAAATTATGCAAGCAAACCTTTAACTGTCTGAAACCATTACAGAGAACATCTGCAATATAAAAGTCTTGGTCTAATTAAGTGAAAATCTCTGTGAAATACAGGCTGAACATTCCACACCCCCACGTAACCAAATAGGACCCTACCAGCAGCTGCTGTAACTAAGCATTCCTGTACTCGAACCTAAAGATGGAAAATAATAAGCTTATTTTTATAGTCCGGAAAAGGAGCACCGGGCTGTATGATCCACATACTGTATGAGTTGAAGTACTTCAGGTTATAAACATCTGGTGCTCAGTACCTTCTTGATAGAATAAGTTTCACTTTTCGAAAATCAGTCATGCATGACAAATAGTGAATTTCCTCCTTTTGTTAACATAAAAAGCAATTAAGTTTTGGCTGTAAATATAATTTGTAAAAAATGCATTTTACAAACCAGCTCAAAAAGAGTTGCTACATTCAAAAAAACATTAACTGAATCACTGAGTGGCAATTAAATGCAACATCGCAGGGCAACATGAATTAACTCCTCTGGGACCTATATAAGCACTGAGAAGAGGCTTTCGCAAGAACTGCTTTACTGGAGCTGCAGTTCAGTGGGGGATGAGGTGGGTCCCCCTCCTATCCGTGAGCAGTTTGGAGACCCCTTGCGCTATAACATCAATCCACTCTCTAACCTCTTGATCCAGTTCATGGCTGCGAGGGAGCTGGAGCCTCTGCTTGCTGTTTTCCCAGAAAGCTTGTTAACCTACCAGTATGTCTCTGGACACAGGAACATGGAAGAGCATACGAACCCCACACAGACAGCACCCCAGTCCCAGAATTCCACCCAGGGCCACAGCAGCTGGAAGGCAGCAATGCTGACCCCCTGCCTCTATATCATTCATGCAATTACTGCTACTACCAAACTCCCATGTCATAAGGAGAACCCCAGTCGGCATGGCTCGACCTTTGGAATACCATCTGTACTGCCAGGGTCTCTGTAGCAAGACTCTGGCTCCATCTCAGTCACCGCAGCTCCCTGCCTGGGGTCATGGGCCTGGGAGCCGGGATTTATGGGAAACTCCACAGCTTCCTGACATTTATGAGAATTTTTTTCAGGTTCACTTCGAGTACAAAGGTTCATTTTTTTAAATAAAAAATATGTATATATTTATTGATTGGAAGACACCAACAGCATACAGAGTGTAAAACCATCTGGAAATTACAGCTTTTGTAAACCAATATTTCTTAGTGTGTTTTCTGAAATATGAAATTATTTTTACAACTGGCCTGTGTTTTGGGGGGAATGCGGTAAGTTAAAATGCTTTAAACTTCATTTCTGAGTTTCTAGTGTTTGTCTCCTGCCAGTTCCCAATCCGTGTCCTGACAGAGCACTGACTACTAGGTTCAGGAATAACAAAAAAAAAAATATTCACCATGATTTATTTGGAATTTGCAAATGCTGTGCATCAAATAAATTAATTTCGACAGTGACACTTAAGAAACATCTACTAATACAAAGGGTAACGCAATACATGCCTCAAGCAACTTGGCAAAGCTCATGACTTGGTGCTTCATTTATTCATTGTTAAGAAGTACAGATCCTGGAACACATGAGCTGCCTTCCATGACTATGTGCACATCCTACAAATATTTTTTCCCCAAGATGTTTGCACATAACATGGAGACAGTTAAGCTAATAAGAACTGCCTACATTCTTATATTGCTTTTCATCCCAAAGTGCACTTTTCCGCTGCTGACATGCAGCACCACTTGGGCGACACAGCAGATCAGGAGAGGAGAGGGAACAAGCTGCACCAGGCAAGGCCAGACTGTATCAATCCAAAGCAGTAGCCCGAACACCGGAATAAACGCACCTCCTCTTCCAAGCCCATAATCAACAGGTAGTCAGGACACTGGCTTCACAAGCAACTGCAAATTTTCCTGAAAACGTAATAATCACAGAATAAATGGGACTGAATGAACCTTTCAGTACCAGCCTTTAAAACCAACAATTAGCTGCTTTGTTTTAGCAACCTTTTCAAGCAGGAGATCTAGAAAATCTTTTACTGGTGCTTGTTTTATTCTTTTGCTTTAAATGATCGGAATCCCAAACAGTTCATTGGGCTCGTTTACAAGACTCCTTTGCCTTCATTTGTGTATAATCACTGAAACAGCTGCCAAAATAGTTGCAAATTTTTAAACCAACCCAGGGGGCTGCACCTGTTTGGTTTATAGAGCTGAGTCCCCTGCAATACAATTACAGAATAATAAGACCTCTCAAATTTATGATTATGTACCTGCTTTCTATTAACCAATGTCTTAAAATGAAGCCAGTCTCGACTTTTCAAAGTCATTTGTATCTAAAAGGCCAAAAGCATTTTTAGGACAGTTTTTAGAAGCAATTTTACGTTCAGAGATTAGAAAAAAAACCTTGTAATAGCACACGTAAATCATATACGGACATCGTCCATCCATTCATTCCTCCATTACCAGAAAACGCTCACGACCTCCCCCTCCTGAAACCAGAGCACCCACACGGACCCCCTGGAACCCAGAACGAAAAGCTGGGAGACAGCAGTGGAAACAGTCACTCCTCCGTGATGCCCCGAGTTATTTTTAAAGTAATTAAAGCAAAGTAAGTAAAGGTGCTTATTAAAAAAAACTTGTTCTGCAGGGCTCAAAGTCGGCAAACAAATTGCAGTTAAAAATGAAGCACTGATAAGGTTTCCGATGTGCAAATCAAATGTGAAAACTCTTTCCGAAACTGTTCACTCAGGAGACAGAAATGCGCGCGGGGAGCTTCATCGGCCTGTGAGGCACACAGGGACAGGGAAGCAGCAGAAGAAAGCAGGAGGGAGGAACGAAGACGGGAGCAGGAATATAAGGCAACAAAGGGCATGGGGGGTGGAGGATGGTGGGAAGAGGCGGCTTCACCAGGGGACGCGGGCTAGAGGTCTGTAAACGATGGAGAGGTTCAGAAAGAAAAGTCACTCTTCGGATGAAGTTGGGAACTGTGCTAAACGACACTTCTGGTTTATGATGTCTTTCTGTTAAAGGAAAATAGAGTATCATGTAAAATGATTTAAGAACTCTATAAGCTAGCAGCTGACATTCAAGCAAACACCATGATGAGAAAGCAAACGGAGGTAATAATGCAGGTTCTCTATTTAAACCGTCTGGACGAAAAGCTTTACTAACAGCACAAGCCGCATGTTCGACCAGGCTGATGTGTGTTTTGCATTTTAGATTATGTTGCCATGCAGCCCTCAAGCTGAACATGCAAACTCCACACAGAAGCCGCTCCAGCTCCGGGGCGCAGAAGCTATGAGGCAGCGCTGCACACGACCACACCAATGTGCCACCCTGCTACAGCATTTTTTGACTGAGAAATTACATTTCACAGAAAGCAGAAAAAAAATACTTTTGAGAAGGTTTCAATTTTTATACAAATAAATTAAATTAATTCTTGAAATAACTAAGGCATTCTAGTAGAGCTCACGTGCATGGCTAAAATTTCAGATCATGTCCAGGAGAATGCACAAACCTGTCATGCACTACTTCAGCTGTTAATCTGGACTTCAGGGACCATAAACGTTTTTCCGCTGAACAACACAACTGCGACTTTTCTTCCTAAATCACGAGTGAAAAGCAACAGGGCTCTAATGGTAGTGCTGCTGACAGGAGTCGTGTACCTGCAAGGGGCTACCAGACAGCAGCGCAGACAAGAAGTCTGATTCATGGACCAACTTACATGAGATACAATTCAATACTGCAATTCAATACCTCCACCAGTTCTAGCAATTGTTCCAAGGAAAATCAAATCATTTGCAAAAGTTGATCTTGTGCAGATTTGGGCCTTAATTTTCAACAAGTCAAACTTTCATTACATTCTGAGCTTTAGGTATTTGGTTACCTGCTTACAAGCCGTCTCAGTTTTGATTATTTCTGTGGGGCATGTTGCTATGCACTTGCTTGTTTCTTGGACTGAATACAGTGCAGCCCAAACCACTGGTGCTTCAGGCTGAAAGCGTTGTATAGCAGTGTATCTCAGCAAAGCTGGGAAAGCCAATACACAGAAGCTCAGCCACACATTGTGTGGACCCCGAGCACGATTTTCCATGAGCAAATTGTTCATGTGAATAATTAGCTACAACGGGTGGCGGTCTGCCTGCAGAAAGAAACGGAGCTCGTCTCTGGTCTGAAAGGTGAAGCAGATAGGAAATGAAACGTCTTGTTGCTACCAGAGAAGATGAAGTGACGGAGGGAAATCGTTGTGGTGAAGGAGACCGCACGAGTGCTTTCCTCGTTGGAGCTGCAGTAGGCGGCCAGGGTCGTGATCAGTTTCCAGCTAGCTCTGTGCTGAGAGCTTGGAGCCCATGTGTTTTTCACATCCAGGCCTACAGGATTACTCATGAACTCTGTTCTAAGTGCACCACCTTAAACAGCCTCAGGGGAGGGCGGGATTAGAATTTCACACACAACAGTTTCCACTCCAGGAGACGATCAGGGCTCAAATTCAGCTTACATACTGTTTTGTGTAACACACACAGAAAAAATTAAACACTGTAATTAAATTGGCATGTCCCAGACAGGAGAAGGTTTCATTTATGATGTTGTGGTCTGGCTATTATCAGCAAAGAAACACACCATCCTGAACAAAAGGCACTGTGAGATGTGCCTTTTGGGCACTGGATCTCCCTCAACCAGAGCCGTGCACACATGGCTGGGAAGGGCCGTCTTTTAAATGAATGGTTTTGGGGAGAGGGAAGGGCCAAAAGATTTTCCTTCTGCTTTGCTGTGACCGCGAGAGAAGGCCTGTGAAAGACGAGGAGTTCCATTCAGCGTTAATCCATAACGGATGGAGCTCCGGACGTCGTTATGAGGTGAATCATTTAGAAATGGAGCAAGTGACTTTGAGATGGGCCACAAGATGTGTTTAAACTCCCCTGTGGGCTGTCTGCAGCAGACAAGGCCATGATCATGGCCATGGCTGCCTTACGTTAAACAGAACACAAGAGGGAAGGCTCTGGGGGAAAGAAGTGAAATGTTGATCTTATTTCCATTGTGCTTCTCCTCCAGAGAAGGGGTCACGTTCCACAACTTCCAACCTGGAAGTCAAACCTGACACTCCCCTGTCTTTACTCAGACCCAAGGTGTCTCCATCAAGAAAGGTGGAAATCGTGAAGGACACTGTAGTATATAAAATGAATTTCTTGAATTTTTATGAATGACAGAAAAAAAATCCTCAGATTTACAGACTTATAGGTGTCTTCATATGGTCATAACTCAGAGTCTGAGACCTGCAGGTAAGACACAGATCAGCCGTCTGCCAGAGGAAGAAGAAACACAGGTTCTCTCCTGATCACTAGAAATTAACCCTTTTTTTTTTGGAAAATTACATCATTTTCAAAGAGAAGCTCAGCTCACAATGCAGTTCTTTTAAACCTGCAGCAAAAGCATCCCGTTAATTACAGAATTTTTCACTGCTGGTTTGGAAATAATCATAGAAGCATACCAAAGTGCACTATCTCACTGTTACTTTTTTAACCTTCTGCAGGCCTGACTGAGCCGAAAAAGCCACGTGCATTTGATATTCAACATAAGATCCAGCTGTACAGGCCATGGCGAAAAGATCTGCTGTTTCTGATTATAGTTTGGATTTGTAATCAAATCCAATTAAATTCTTCCAAGAACATGGAGACAGTGGAATATGATGCAATAAACATTTAATTGCGATAAGTATTTAACACGTATTCCATGGGCAATGACAAAAACTTGCACACTAAACGTTCAGGCATGTGAAGACAGTGCCTCTTTTCAACACCTCACCTCACCCAGGGCGCTCCTCTGCTTTCAGTGGCGCAGTGCGTTTGAAATGCAAACTGGGTATTTACTTGTCTTACACACCACCTTATCTGCCTTCTTCATTCACTAAAGCTTAGGCAAGGTTATACAGCTGTCTTTAGTGTAATATGGAATAACAGTGCTTTTCAGAATACTTACTATTAAAGCCAGTATTACTTTCCCATGAAGAACCGCAATGCTTTTGTCTGAGAACTGGATGTGCAGTACTTGATTAAGCGGCTGCTGGCACTGGGTAGTGTATGACACATCATCCGATTCCCCATACTTCCCCAGCACTAAGGAGAGCGCTGAGCCAACCCGGGGAGCTCGCGTGCAGCTCCGAGCTCTCACCCCGTCTCGCAGTGTCTTCATGAGCAGGAGCGGTGAGTGAGCTACTTTATAGAGACAACAGGACACTGCGGTTCAGTTAAAAGAGCGCAAAGAGTGATTTGGGATGACAGAATTCGAGGAAATATCCAAGCAATTAACTAGAAAATGGAAGAATTCTCTTACTTTAAGGTTTTATTTTTTCATTTGCTCTTAACCACCCCTTTACACGACAGTTTTACACGACTTTGATGGGCCATGAGGCTGTACGCTCAGAGTGGGACCGATCTCAGTGCCGGACAGGAAAGCCCTCAGAGGGGGACCGATAAGGTATCGGACACAAAGGTACTGACTGACAAAGTCAACATGTTAGACTTCTTTAGAAGCAGCGGTGAAACACGAACCAGAGAGTGCAAATGGAAAGTAAAGGGAAAGTGAATTTAAAACAGGGAACAGAAGGCACAGTTGCTCATTTCAACAGAGGGTTATGGGAGTCCAGAACAAGATAATAGGCCATGTGGCTAAAGATGATATCCTGTCTTCTTTGAAGAAATGGCTGGATGACCTCCACTCATCTGCAACCACTATTAGCGTCTTACGAAGCGACAGGACAGGAGAAACTACGGCTTTATCATGCAGTAAGGGATCCAAGGGCCTGGTTATTAGGCAGTGGAAAGATGGCACGTTCTTGGGCTCTGGCTGTCTCTCAGTAGCAAGGATAGACATCCAAGCAGCAGGCTGCATTATTACAAGTGTGAGGGAAGCCACGAGTTGCCCTCTTCTTGAATTGAGAACAGTAACTTCATCCCTTTCACAGAACCAGACGCAGCTGAGACCAATTTCTTTCTGAAGCTACGAGGGAGTTCATATTGCCAGAATGTGATTGAATTAGTCTCTGCCGGCCCGGCCTGTCAGAGGAAGGCAGCCCCAGTAAGAGTAATGTCTGTGAGCCTGGCATTTTCCTCTGGTTTCGCCAGGGCTTGCCTCACAGTCTCCAGTGAGCGATGGTCTGCACCCGTGCCCTGATGGCTGGGTTTTGCAAAAGAATGAAGCCGCAGGCATCACTGAAGGAAAAAGGATTGTGGGAGAGAATTACACTGTTCCCATTCCTAACACATGATTAAGTGTAACTCGCAATTGAAAAGGAAATGATCTGTGGAAACAAACGTAAAAATATTCATTAACAGATGAAACATGAATGAAGAAATGATGAAACCCCTGGAAGAACTGCACCATCACAATCCCAGAGGCTCATCTGTGCCTGACAGGACACCATTTAAGTTGTCAAGAGAACAATAAGTCCCAGGGAACAAACATGAATCCTGTTGCAAAGAAGTTAGATCCACTTGAGAGTTTAATCCGATGTGGCAGGAAAAGCCAGGGGCTAGATATTTCCAGCAAGGAACCTTGCCCAGAAAGATGCATGGCATAAAGACAACATGAAATACACAGCTCTTCTGTTTCATCAATACCACTCGAACCTGCAGCTGGTCGAACAGAACACACATCAAACTGCTACAGAAATAAAAACACTTGTCTCTCTTGTCTTATCATATTAAGAGTCTCCCCGAATAAGGTTTATTCAGAGCTGGTTCTAATAAGAGGAGGATAATTTCGTGAGGATAAAGACTTCCATTCCTGAAAATCATTACTTTGATATCAGTATTATCACAGTGCTGGCATCGCAGTCTTTTAACTCCACGCTGCCTGAATTGGGTTTGCCCAGCATGCAGCATGTCTTGTCACTTTAACCACATTTAGAGTCTTTAACCCTCCCCCAGTTCCTACTAAATAACACAATATCCCTTCATATCCAGGGAGACTGGCACGTTGAACACCTCGGACCCCTTCAAGCTCAAGCGGACCATTTCAACCTGTGATTTAAAGAGAATGTGAAGTGCTTCGCATGACAGTCTATGTGCCTTTGGCGACCTTTCAGCTTTAACCAATGAATAATTAAACAATCTTTGTTTTATCACACTCTGGTAAGGAACACTGCAGTATAGCTGCTATCTCACAGATCAACAGAACACCTATTTTACACTGTCCAGGGACACATTCCAAGGCACGAGAGGTACTTGGATGGAAAAGACTTGGGCCAGTGTGACGGGGGTAGCCCAGGTGAGGAACGCAGTGTGACTGTAGACCCACTGACCCATTTTAAAAGGAAAACAGGAAATCGAGGAAGGGCATGAAGGAGAGGAAGCCATTTGGCTCATCACTCATGTCTGGAGACCCCTTTTCCTGCAGTCCCCCGAGAGTCGTCTTCGGTAGTGTGGAAGGGTGGTTTGTGTCAGGAGACTCTGAGCCTCCTGTTCGTGGTCCTGAACCTGCTCTTAGTGTTTGGATATTCTGCTTCTTTGTCAGACTGCATTCACTGCTGCCTGTTCCACTCTTCTTTTAGACCAAGGTTTTCACAAGATCAAGATCATTTTATACCACAGTGAAGGTTTCCAGAAATATAAGTGCTCTCTATTCATCAACAGAACACGGGAAGCCAAGTAGAGATTCATGAAGTTTTGGCTATTATAACAGACATCGTAATCTCCAGGTGACCTCGGTGAAACAGAAGAAAATCAAATCTTTCTCCACGCAGCAGCTGACTGACTTCCAACACTTTTTTTCCTATGTTCCCAGAACTTTTTTCCTCCAGATTTAATTGCAGGAAATGAATGAAATTGGTGTTGTATCTTGTAAGGCCTGAATGGCTCTAAAACTGATACAAACAAAACACAGGCAAGGGGCAGGACAGAAATGCAACTCCAGAGACGAACAGGCCAGGGAAACCGTGACCTAGCTGTAGCTCAGTGCTATCAGGTTTAAAATGTCTGAATGTCTCCAAGCATGCCTGCTCACTAGAGAAGGGCACTTCCTTGCCCATCACAAATCTAAAGCTGGAATCTTGACATTTCTGGACTTTCTTAAGTTGTGTTTTTTTAAGCTGAGTCACGTCAAGGGCTACTCAGTGAAATCTGCTTGCTTACCTCGGGCTGTATCGCTTTAAAGACTGGGGCATCCATCAGGGTAATCTGGCTCTGTGAAAAGGAAATAAAACAAGCTCCATTAATCTCTTCACTTTACCTCTAGGATACCTGAATAAATCACCTTTCTTTAAGCCTTCAGTGGCCACTGAAGATGAACACATTCTCTTCCCATTAACCAGTGAAAGCAGCCACAAAATGTATGCAGCCATAAACTGTAAATTACCCAAATCTTCTCACGAGGTGCTTCCAGCTGGACTAGGCAAGAGTGGTTGGAGTTTTAAGTGCAATACTGCTCCAGGACCCGTTAGGAACAGTATGATGCTACTGGGATATTTTAGACATCAGTCACAGCACCATCAACTTGTTGCCTGGTCTTATTTTTAGATCCCAGACACAATGAAAGGCTCAGACTGGTCAGTACTGGGAGGGAACAAAATGCAGGTTGCGGCTATAAGTGGTGTGGGCCAATAGGAGGTGCACTTCTCTTTGGACCACAATTTCCGAACCAATACTCCAACATGGTGTCTGGGGACACTGTGCTTTAAAAGGTGTTGTCCTTCAGGTAAGATATTAAACCCAGGCCCCACGACTTGATCATTAAAGACCCCAGGGCACCGTCCGTAAGAGCGTCCCAGTGTCTTGGACAAATTCTGTTTTGGGTTTGTAGTGTCTGACATCCCTAAAGTTCCTCCTTAGTTCAACTGGTGCAGCAGTTTCTCTCTCCTCTACCTGATTTGTTCACTGTTGTTCTGTTACTGGTGTGGAATGACAGATGAAATAGCACCAAGGAAACGTAAGGAATTATCTTTATAGGAATCATCATTCTGTGTCAGGACCTCTCTGAATTGAGAGGATGGGTCCCATGCAACTCCATACAGGTGTGACAGACGGACCTCTATGGCCTACCTACTTACCGCAAACTCCTCAGGTGTGACTTTCAGCACGTCAAACACGACAGCGTCATAGCTCTTGGCGTAGTCCACACTCCGCCCATCCAGAGAGTCAGAACTGCTGCTGCCCTTAACGCAGAACAGCATAGGAATCAGACAGAAAAGTCACAGACACAAAGGGCTATTCTTCTCATCACTGTGTCAACACACAAACCCTTGAGCAGACATCATGGAAAAACAAACTGAAGAAACTGAACTGTTGATAGAAATGCATTTAACTGGGTAAAATTTCAGGTGTTCATTTGTTTAAAATAATTTTAAAATACTGTTAATGTGCACGTAATCAGCATAATTAGTCACCAACTCAACATTTAATGCTAAAGCGCACAAACACTAACACTGATCAAAGCTGGAGAGCAAAATCCGAGAACGCGTTTGCCTCTAGAGTAAAAAGCCTGAATAAGATTTGTTTTTTAAAAAGGAAGAAATTAAACCTCTTAGAATATTAATTCAGACAAGATTTATTCACAGCACTTTCTCATTATACTTGGAAATTCAGGCTAAGGCTGGGAAATAACGAATTTCCTTCAAAACTAGGAAAAGTCGGCGCTTGTCTCCGACAGTCCTGGTTCGTGGAATCTCTGGAACTAAAGGAACCTTCTTCTGGACCCCACAGATTCACAGCGATCCGTCGGGCTGCAGCCTTGAGGACAGAGCCTGTGTTTACATTAATGTAAGGAAGCAACTTACACTTTTCCCTGAGCACGGTTTCTGCAGCGTTTCCAGCGCACACAAGAAGCTATTTAGCTTTGATATCGTGGTGGAAACACGGCCAGCTCGCCAGCTCATATCTGAGGCATGCGGCTGAGGACACAAGACCACAGGCTGGGCCGTGACAGCCTCCCATCGCCATCCCCTCCAGGAACAGCACTTTATTTAGACTAAACCCCCCTTTAATTTGGTGAAGGACCAAAACTAAATTTTAAACATTTAGGCAATTCAGATGCGGTTTTATGCCTTAAATGGTATTTGTCTGCGCCTTCCAATGCCTATGAAGAATCTAAAGTATTATTATTAAAATCCTGAGCACAATGCTAGAGAATACTGCGCATTATAATAACATGTGAAAGGATCCCTCAGGTGGTCACTGGGTTGCTCAATTTTGTCTGATCATACTTACCATTCTTCTTTTGGGCATGGCCTATACTCTTTCAGGAGTGTAAGTTATTAATTAAGCCATTATTTTGCAGTAGGAAAGGGTTATGATACCAGCTGTAGCACCAGATATTTCTTAAATTTCAAATAATTTAAAACTGGAGATCAGACAGCCAGAGCTATGTTTGTGAAGGAGGTGCAGTGCTTTAAAAACAGGGAAGAATGACAAACATGGGAAGATTTATTATGCCGTGTACAGTGCATATCATTCTCATGCAAGATTGAAAACCCTTCATTTAAAAGGTCGGAAGAGTTAAAAGCTAGGTTCAAGTGTGAGTGCACGTCTGGGGCATTTTATAGTTCAAGTTTTACTTGGCATTGAACCTGAAAACTTTGGGCACTTCATTTAAAACTGTCAACTGTCACCTTTGCTAGAGAAAAACATTCCATTTGTCATTTTTCCAAGACTCTGATGATCACTCGCTAGTGGGGAGGCAGAGATGGGGGAGACACGGGGGAGCCCAAACGACGGGCGAGCGGACGGGTACCTCTGGAGTGGCGGACGTGACGGTGACGCTGGCCATCCGCCCATTCCTCCGGTACATGCTCGCGGCCGGGCGGGGAGGGGCCTCAGCTGCAGGACAGGCATGACCCGCGATCCATCCCTGCAACACACACACACAGAGCACAGGCGCCTGAGGATCCACTCCTGCCTCCCGCAGCAGACCTGAGGCCACCTGGCGGGTTCGGGCCCATTCGGCGGGGTGCCCTGGCACCGCAACACTGCTGGCCTGACAAAGAGTGCAGGAACGAGGAAGACGAAGGGGCTACGCAGCCCCGGACACGTCCCCCGGCAGCATATCCCTCAGCTCTCCTGTGTAATAAGGACGCCGAGGCACTGCTCTGATCAATAAAACATCTGTCTCGCCGGACGACACTGCGCATGGCCAGACTGAGCTTGGCCAGAGGTTCGGGGGAGCCCCTGGCCAAAGGAGTTGACTTTGGGCGGCTGGCTAGGGCTGGTGTGAACATAGATCAGCATCTGAAGATTTTCATGCTCCCCAAGAGCAAGAGCTGAATCTCAAAGGATGTGACAATCACTCCAAAAATCCCACAAGGCCTCCTCAGGCAACACTGGAGCTCTGTGAAAGGGAGCAAAGCTTTTTCCCTGATGTGCTAATAAAGCAGCAGAGCCCTCTAACCCACAGACCAGCAGACACGGAAGGAGTAAAACACATAGGAAAATATTTCATATGACCTGAGAATGGAAACGCCCACACACTTTTAGATTTTAACGTTTCACAGACGTGCCAAATGCCAGACTGAAAGTTAAAGCCAGCTCAAATCAATGGTGAAAACAATATTTCTATTTAAGTAAAAAAAAAAATTATGCTCATTTTAAGCTTTTATTCGTCGATAGGTTGTTAATCCTCAGCACTAATTCCAAGGCCTCATCTGGAAATTATTTGAAATAATTTAGGTTTACAATATTCAGAACTACAGTAAATGTCAAACATTTGTTGGCGTTCATCTCATTTTCTTACTTCTTTTGCTCAGTTTAACAGAGTCACTTATGACCATGGAAACACTATTGCACCGAGTTAATTTGAATAAGACATAACCAGAGACTTTGACATGTATGGCACGAAACTTGGATGACAAAAGAAATGAACGGTCCAAAAACAGAGCTCAGCAGTCCCACAATAACTTTCTTTTTCTAGACGGGATGCTTAATCCTGAGCTCAAGACATTACATTGTACTGCACAAGTCAGAAGAAGGATTTCCTCCACAGACCCCATGACATACAACAGAGCAGTTAATTGGAAACATCTGAGACGCAGGAGGTGAACAACACCGCTAAATTTTAAAAGTCACAATTTCCACATGTGCATGACATCAGCCGGGGAGCAGCGTGTCCAGTGTGAAGAACCAGGCATCCTTCTCTGTTACATAACACACAAAGGAAGGCAACTGTCCTGCCACTTCAGCTGTACTGCACTGCCACCTGGAGGGAAAGACTGGAACGTCACCAGTGGTATGACGTGGTAGTGGCCAATGTACAAGCACATATGGCAAATACACTCCTCCATCTCTAGACAAACTGGATTTTGTTTACTGGAACTGGACCTTTTCCACTTTGGATACAGTAGTAATCCCAACCACAATCCTATTATATAGCGATTTTTTTAGCTGTTCTGTCAACTCTCAGCCAAGGTTCACCTTAAAATAATACATACCTGTATACCTACACGCCATTTCATAAAGGACAAAAAATCTGTTCTGACCACACAAGTAAAATAGTCACCATGCAAGTAAGTCAGGGATGGCAACAGGGTCATAGAAAAAAAATCAGTACTGGCAGAGAAAAAAAAAAATCAACGAAAACAGAACACAAGACAGACCCCACCCAGACAAGACTCCGCTCTTGCTGTCTATAAGCAGTGCCGGGTTTAGTACCCAAGGCTCCACCCAGAGCTCCCCTTGAGTGACAAGCAAGCTCCATCTCTGCAGCGTGACACTAAATGGAGGCACAACGAACAAGGACAGACTGTGGATCCACAGACAGTAGGGAAGCGGGCAGCTACGTGACCCTGCCCTGCGCCACACACGGCGACACAGTGAGCCTCCAACATGCCAACCAGAAGGGGGAGATCCATCAGCGCTTTAACTTCCTGGCCCCAAGGGACAAGAAACTGCACACCAGCAAACCCCCTCTGGAGCCCTGGTAGCACACACTCAGCAGACGCTTCTCAGCTAACTGCTCAGCGCACGCAGTATCGATTTGCAGTTATGTTACTCCACGCATTAATGACCTTCTCCATAATGTAATTAGAAAGCACCACGGCAATGAATTAAGTGTTGCACGTTTTAGAATCCAGATAACTTAATAAGGACCAGAAAACCCACGAGTTAAGCAGCTTCAAGTGCATGACTTACTCCCATTGGTGCAGCTTATTCAGTTTACTGCTGACACAGCCCTGCTGCCGGCTTTTCAGCGTCTCTGTATTTTGAGAATGACCAGCTGATCTAGAGGATGCTCTGGCATTCAGTCAACAACAGTCATGACCTCAAAATATAACTGTGGGTAAAGGCTACTGGAAATGTGTGAGTGACAAAGACTGGACTCCAAAGTTAAACACACACAAAATGTTACGCACAGTTTTGTTATTTTACACAATTTCTAAATCACATTCTGAGGCGATTTTAAAAATGTAAAAATCTTAGAAATGAACATTGTGGAGTCTTTAAAAGCTCATGTTAAGTTCTGGTTTTCTTTGGTATACCTCCTGTAAAACTATCAATGGCCACCCGATGGCAGCAGTGTGACAACCACGGCACACCAATCACTACACCGGATATAAACAATGGTGACTGAACATGGCTCTTTTACCTGCTTCACTTGCTTTTACAAACCGTGGCATTAATGGGGATTTCATTTTCAGTTTTGTTTCCAGCGTGAGGACGGGTAAAACGACAGCCTTTCTGAGAAGCAAGCACGTAGAGCTGGTTGTTCAGGTGTTCGGGTGACTGGAAGGAAGACCGCAGAAGAAAAGGCAGCCGCTGTCAGTCACCCTGGGAGGCAGCAGGCTGGAGGGTGTCATGGCCGGGGCAGGGGGCCTCACGCCCTTGACGACAGCGTGCTCAGACGAGCTGTGAAGGCTTCCTGGGCGAAGCCACGCGGGGAAAAACGCTCACGGTTTCAGCAGCTGCACCAGCGGAGCCGACGGCCGCCTTGGTGCACTCGCAGCGGAAGCAGCTGGCTCATGTCGTGCCCGTCACAAACCTGCACTGAGCGCAGGACATCTGTCACTCCTCCCCCCCCCCACCCGCTGTCCCCAACCTTGCCGAAGGACAGAAAAAAAAGAGACAGGAAGGCGCGATCAGCCATGGCCAGAGATGGCGCGGCACCTTGGGCACCATACCACGCCACAGCACACTTTAGAGCGTCAGGAAAAAAACAGCACCTGGTTCCTAAGCGCGTTTCATGTTCTTTACCTCAGTTTTCCACGACGTCCTTAAACCAGCAGCCCGTGCTGGAAGCAGAGAGGGCAGTAAGAGGTGCCTGCTGCACGGTATCCCCCATTCAGGGGCTGGCGTGACGCCACACAGGCCTGGGTGCCATCTCGGGGTTGCTATGGTAACCTCCGTGGTGCTCCAGATTAAGGGCCTGGAGGTCCGCTTCAGAAAAATCCTTTTTAAGAAGCAAAGGGCAGAGGATGCCTTTTTAAAAAAGAAATCTTCATAAAAATATCCCTCCTTTTCCATCCGGAAAGTGTAGAAAGAGCGGAGAGCAAGGATCTGCCTGCAGTTCAATAATCGGTGTGAACCAGGCAGGTCAGGCAGAAGGCAGAGTCTTTTAAATCTGTGACAGTAAGACACGCCGATGAAAGTGGTTCTGCATTTAGACAAAATTCACACTTGATTACAAAGAGCAGAACCTAAAACTGACGGCGCTGTATCCACCAGGAGATGGTCATCCACAAGAAAGGAGTGAAGAGAAGGAGAGAGGGAGAGAAGATTAAAGCTGATTGTGTACCGGAGCCCTGAACGCAGAGAATGGAAAAAACAGGACCTTCTATAATTAGACAAGGAGCCGCCCAAGAGAGTTCAGGGAAATTCCACGCCTGCCAGCTTCTCAGGTACTTCCCTGGCAAACCCTGAAATGCCCTCAGGTTTCAGCTATTCCAGGAAAACGAGACTCTGAAATTCCCCGGCCGTTCAGTCGTGAGTTTCCCAGACAGCGGGACTTCCGTACCCACGGACATGCTCCCTGGCGGGCAGGCGCTGGCATCACGAGGGCCGTGGCTGGGGAGGCACAGGGGGCCGCACCGCAGACCGCGGCTTTCAGAGTCAAAGAGTGACCTTCTCCCCAGGCCCCCGCAGCCCAGCCGCGTCACGTGCGAGAAAGAAAAAGTAAAAACACTACGATGCAATCCTCTACAAACGGATCAGCAGAAAGAGACAGTGCAGCTTTTCAAATATCGTGTCCAGTATCATAAAGAGGAACTGACAGCCTATGAAAGCAACCTGAAATGCTGATGAACCCTGTTCTTTTTCTCTCTCCTTCTCAGGGAGAGCAATGCCACACGTAATTCTTAATTATGAATAGCAAATAGCACAAGTCAGATAGGGTCAACAGATTCAGATATAGGTAGTCTGGGTTACTTCCGTGTGTTTATTAGGTACTGCACTCCCACATTTGAAGTTATCCCACAACTGAAGGTATCGGATAAAGTAGCTGACGGATTTTTGTTTGCGCAGTTTTCCTGTAGGGGAAAAAAATTCGCTATACATGAAGTTTTATTGTCACCGGGTGGCTAGTTGCAGAATTGTGTATAATTTCATATTTACTCTAATACTGTACAGTATGTCTGGTTATTAATCCTAATACTATGTGCTAGGCCCAAGATCTGAGAGACAGGCGTTTTCTCATTGGTCTTTGGACAGAAAGCTGCTGACCCCTGCACTGACCTTCAGAAGTCTGTTTCTGGACTTTTACACAGTAGGTCCCTCTTGTGGCCAGTGGCCGGACACACAGCAGATCAAAGAAGCATCTTAGAGATATCCGACCATCACAATAACAGATCAAACGTATGACCACAAAGGGACTGTTGCAAACTCAACTGTAAAGAATCAGGTTTCAAATACGGTTCCTTTTAACTAAAACCTACTAGTTTCCCTTTGTTTACCTTTGATTCTGTTAAAGCACTGTATAGAAGACTCGTACAACTGCTTTTTAAAACCTCTGTGATCAAGCAGCTTTTTCCACCTTGCACAAGCTCGCTGGTCAACCGCCAGGGCCCGAAACCGTTTACTTTACTTTGTTTACTGTTTACTTTGGCTCTTTATGAAAGAACGGCAACAGAAAGCCAGTGCCTGCATCACCCACCACCGCACTGTAACTCTCATTCCAGCTGCCACTGGAAATACAATATTTGGACCTAGAAAACCTCGTATTTCTGGTCAGCTCAGTGCACAGGAATTTTGCATAACTGCTCATCTACAACACAACCTGGCTACAATGGTTTTCCACGGCAGCATGCACACTGCTGTCCATATGCTACTACTGAGCTGACTGCGTTGAATTTCACAATATTTGCTTTGCAGTACATTTATTTCCAGCAGCAAGCATTTTAAAAGTAACTTCCTTTTGAAACAATAATTGAGCGCAGCTATCAGTTTTCTAGCTTCATATTACACCGGCTCATAAAACGAGGCTCACCCACGCCACGCGAGTGGCAAGGAACTTTCTAGACACCGTGCCGGAAAACCATGCTAAAGCTCTCCATGCCAACCACTGCATACACAGTGTGTCTCCATAAACACTGTCTCTCTCACTCCGTCGCTAAGGCAGCATTCCTACCTCTACTAGATAACATCGGGCTGTGTTTGTTGCTTTATTTTGGTTGTCTTTTTATAGGGAAAAGGCTGTAAGAAAGCCCTGGACCCAGCCTGCCTGCTGCGCTCCACAGGAGGAAAGTGCGAGCCGTAAGAGAACCGTGAAGGAGGCGGCGCGCAGACAGAGGTATTCCCGGGGGATTCTGCGGGGGGAAAGTGCTTTCTGCGGCAGACACCACCTGCACTAATGAACGTGTCTGCGAGACGGGCAGGTCTTGAGTGCAGACCGGGTCTTGCAAGCAAACCTCCTGCGATGTGGCAGGGGAAACGGGAGTCATGGCAACTCGCTTTGCCGTTGAGAAAACTCATTTTGGACTGCAGTGCAGATGCCTGCTCCCGCACCTGAACGCCACCATGCATGAACTGTTGGTGTTAGAACAGTTTGATGAGGGTGCTCTGAAGGCAGATCAGGCTCACAGGACTGCAACAGGAATAACCTGCATCTTTGTATGCCATGTGTACACCATTATATTCTGCATGAATCAGAAGTCCTTTTGCTATTCTGTTGATGGTGAGAGATAGCACGAGATAAGAAAAAGGACTGAAGGTTAAACAAATATTTTTAAACCACTCAACAGTTCAATGGTATCAGAGAAATGGGCAGTGTATAAGTGAATTTACTCGAGCACCCCCTCTTCAAACGGAACACGGTCTAAACAGCTTTGGGCAGAAATCTGTGAGAAGGAAAGACGTGCTCATAAGCAGGAGTTCTGAAGTCTACAAACCTATCAACACATCAGTGAAATCCTTCATTAAAATGATTTCTTACAATTCCATGTAATTGTTGTAGCATATAAAGCAATTCACACAAAAACTATTTATAATTTATAATTACAAATATATGATGTAGACATCATGATGCAGCATGTCAAAATTCCCTCACAACTCAAAAATTTGATTTCATCACTCACTCTGGCATTGTGAAATTGTTTTTTTAAAGAGTACAGGAAACAACGTCCCACTGTCTCTAGAAAGATTATTTTTTCTAGGAACTGATTCCAAGTTGAACAGGAGCTTCCTGTCTCTAGCGAGTTCTAGCAGGAGCTGCTGCTGCCAGGCGCCCACAAAACGACAATCTCTCCGAACCCAAGGGCATCAGAGAGTATGTATTTCGTTGAGTCAACGAGCTGGTTGATTCATTTATTCCTCATGTTGTACAGCAGCTCCTTCATGCTTCCCAATCACAGGCAAACAGGACCTGTACGTGGAAGCTCCATTAATAATAAGTACAGACTGAAGGTGCCCAGATCTGCAAACTGGGTACAAGTCGGTTCTGGAAGTCTGGAAGGGGGAGATGTGCTTCTGCACAGCAGAGCTGCTGCCATGAGATGCCAAGTCTTTAGGGCCGAGAATGGCTGATCAGACTGTTGTCACACACTCGTTTGCCATGCTCAGGTATCCATGCATGCAGTGACTTAGAGAGATGCGTTATCAACATAAAGCAACAGAAAACAAAGCAAGCAAAGTCTTGAACAGACGCCACAGACTGAGGCCCGTTCGGAGAAGCGTTAACACTTTGGGGGACAATAAAACTCCTTGACAATAGTTTAGAACAAAAATGTGGAAGGCGTGGGCAGCCAACTCTTCTATGCAAACGTCAGGCCCTCTCTTGCCCCTTCCACACATTGTGGGCTTGGCAAAAAGTATTGTTGAGGTGGAGTTGCACATACTGTAAGCGACCTCAGCAAGGCGACATGAGAGATGCAAAGACTTCCTTACCTTTGCCTCGCTCATGCCCTCGACAGGTTGGCCTGCTCTGACGGGAGCTGTGAATGTGGTTTCTCTGCCCAGGGAGAAGCGCAGCGATGCTGCCACAGACAGCGAGGACAGAGTCGGGGGACGGGGCTGTCCAGGCGCGCAGCAGAGTGACAGTGGAGCTGCGGCACCGGATGGGAGAGAGGACCGAGTCCCGCCTGCAGGACCTGGGGCTGCGCTGCGCGGCGGAGGTGACCATCACAGAGCACTACTACGACAACCAGGACTTTCAGCTGGCTGCCCAGCAGGTCTGGCTCAGCAAGCAGGATGGAAAGTGGAGGCTGATCCTGGGCTCACAAGCAGACCAGAGGGGATCTCAGGGGGGCCAAGAAGGCAGTGAGCACAGACGGGACCACAGCGCAGACAGGACAGAGACAAGCAAGGTCAATAACCCCCAGGAGACAGGAGGGAAAGGCACAGGGATTCCGGAGGAGCTCGGAGGCACCTCATCATTTCCACCCAAAGGATGTTCCAGGGCTCTGAGAGAGCAGCATAAGATAAAGTCACCCTCCCCTTCTTCTGATCTCCAGCCAGCAGCTGTGAACCCAGCCAGCTCCTCCTCACACCACCGAGACTCGGAGCCAGGGCCCCATTACTGCGAGCTGACTGCAGACAAGCAGGTCATCGAGCACCTGGCAGGGAGCCTGCAGATCGCTCTGACGGAAGAGCAGAGGAGACACCTGACAGTGGAGAAGTTCCTGGAGCTGGCGCACATCCAGCAATACGGCAGCCACACCGCTGCCGGGAGGCGGAGGTACGAGCTGAGGGACACCTGCACGCTCACTGTAGAGACGGACAACACCTGCCGCCCCGCCAGGCGCACGGCTGTCCTCTCCATGCCGGCGGACGTGCTGGACATCGGGCGCGAGCTGGAGAAGATGGAGAAGATGGCAGCGGAGTTGGAGTTGGAGCCGGAGCCGCATCTCTCCAGCCCCAAACCCTCAGTTCCTTCAACTCCCACTGGCCCACCCCCGTGTGTGGTCAGCAGCCTCTAGCACACTTGCCGATTCACCAGAAAATACCAAATAACCAAAAATAATTTGCTTAAACACGAGCATTATTGGTTTTGCAAACTGAGACTCCGGAACAGAAAGTTACTCAGACACACTAACAGATCGTTTCTCAATTATGTCATTTTCTTGGTTAAAGTCACACTGTAACAAGGTTTACCTTTAATACAGAAATGACCACATTCATTTCTTATTAAAAATAAATCGTAGCTCAAGTAAATGTCATGAATAGTGGCTCATTATTACCAAGGAATGCTCCAGTAGCAACAGGCAAGCCTGCTCTAGGAAGGAAATTTGATTAATAAACAGCAGTGTTATATTTAACTTCCTAACTTCCCTAAATCACACATTTCTGACAAATGTATTTGCTGCTCGGGGCTGCCAAAGGACCATACTGACAGAATTAATATTAACAGCAAGCTGGGGCACATTAATAAAATATGGAATGCCTGCTGATCACTGCAGTCTTTGAAATAGGACATGACAGAGTCCCATTCGAACTAGTTCAGTCAGTACCAAAACGTGTCCTTTGAACACAGAGTCAGACATTTAAACCATGACCACAGTAAACTAGCTTAAATGTGTAACAGAAATAAAGAAAGTGAAAATCAAGTGAATGATTGCTTTCAAAGACTGTAAAATATTCACTGCCTGCTTATGGCCTACAGAGGAAACTCCTGCCAGGTGCCAATGATGTTTAAATTGCGTGAAAACCCAAGAGGCAGGTCCGGGGCGGGCGGGGAGCCCGTCTCCCTGTGCAGGCGGCCAGCCCCAGCGCGACTGCAGACGTGAGGCGCCCGCACACACCTCCTCCAGCGCAGCGCGGCACAGCCACGGCCGTGCAGGCATGAGGCATCCGCCGTAGCCACGGCAACCGCACGGGCCGTAATCTGCTTATCGCTCCCATCAGCTCCGCCGAGAGGACGGGAGGACGCGCCGCGGGCTCCCATCAGGCCCACGGACTTTAAATGTCACTTGATTTATGTTTATTGTTGTTCTAATTCTTTAGTCACCCCACCCCCCCCCCCCATCTTTGAAGTTGCGCTTATTAGCTCGCCTGGCTTTCCTTTCACAGGAGAAATGTTCCACATCAAAGGGAAGGTGTGGAGTCGTGGTTTTAGTCAGATCTTAACAGATCACGCCTGCTAGCGGGGAAAGAGTTTTTGCGCGAGGACACCTGGATTCACAAGAGCTGCGAGTGACTCCGCTATGCAAACAGGTATTGAGAAGGCTTGCCGCCTGCAAGCTCATGTGTGTTGGGATCCTCTGGGATGAAAGGAAGGAATTATGATAAAAACATGCAGCAGCTTCTCAGTGCCAGAAGACAGATCTGAGGGGAGGGAGCTTCAAAGACCACTAGATACCCCTTAACACGAGAGAAGGCTGCCGGAGACCTGCGAGCTGCGAGAAGAGACTCCCTTTCCACCCCGGACGCCCTGCTTCCTCTACCGGCCGCAGAGATTGAGATAAAGCAGAGATTGTGCGAGTGGGTTTTCTGAACTAACTATAAAAACTTGCATTTTCAAACGCTTGTCAAAATGGGCACGGGCCAGACCTCACGTATTGAGCCAGCACTGCAAATCATCTGCAGCCCTGACTGAATATTCGGCTACTGAAAACGCAAGGAGCTCTATCAGTCTCTTGTACGATTACACGTTTAGAGAAGCCTCTTCCATGCAAAGCGGTTCCTGAGAATTGAAAACGTTTTTGGGTGTAGGGATGTAAGGAAATCCCTTACGGCACTACTCAAAACTCTGTGGACCGCTGGGCTTAACAAACACTGCGCTGTGTTTAACAAAGATTTCACACACACACGCGCGCGCACATTGAAGGAAATCATCCCATTCACTCAGCCAGCCCAAATGAACCCAAATCTCATCCACCCAGCAACCCCAAATAACTCTACCTTGTCTAGAGCTTCTGCCGGGCAGGAGTAAAAATACTTAATCCAGATTAATTTCACACTGCTGTATCTACTTCAGTTTCCTGCAGCTCAGCAGGAAATATCAGCAAGAAACATACATTCAACTCCTCCGCCCCTTCTTTAACCTGGCGCTCCGTGACCTACATTGCTAAATCTCTTAGAGACACTTGAGTTTTCCTGGACAGAAAAAGTTATATATGATATGAACGGCCATGAATCGTTCAGATGCTTTTAAACCATCCTCATTAGGCTGTCATTCCTAATGTAAAGGCTTTGTACTTGGTATTAAATACAATATCAGGGGCTCAACAGTGCCTCCTGAGTGTATCTGCCTCAGTGTCATGGGTATCTAGATTGCTGTACTGAAGAGCAACCAACATTTTTAAAATACTGAAATCCAAAGACCGGCTTCACAGAGGTTTTTGACCTTAAGCCTGGATTAGGTCAAATCTTTTGAGCTAACTGCCGCTTAAAAAATTATCAACCCAGTAATTAATGCTACTCAAATTAATGAACTGAAGCTTCAGATTAATGGGTTGGGTCCAAATCTTTATTTAACCTGCTTAGGCCTATTTCATACGTTTCGTCATGAAGAACTTCCCTCCTATTCAGTGCTATCCTCTGGAGAGGATTGTCAGTGATCCCCCAATCTGATTATTCACAGCGAGTATTACAAAGCAGTAACAGGACCCGGAGCGCAAGGTGAGACTGACTCTCTACAGGACTCAAACCCTTGCAAACAGCGGCTCTATCCACACAAAGGACTTGGCTGCTGCTTGCGTGGGGCCGTGTGCGACTGGCGTCAGGACACGTAGGTGAGACAAGGGGCTCGATCATTACCTTCGTGCCCGAGGACAATGCTGACTTCCAAACCCTGGGAGTGCAGCTCAGTGATTCTTCACCCTATGGTTTTGTTTTTTTACACTCAGTGGTAAATGAACCAGCTGCAAGACAGGCACTGCAAAGCCTGGCCTCGCCTCTTGCTTGTAACTGTTCTGATGCTGTAACTGCCAAGGCATCTCCTCACAGATCTTGTTCTGACTGTCGCTGGGTGGCTGGAATACGATTTCTACTACCAAGAACATTTCTATGAGTACGCCTATGAGTAGAATTACTAAATAATGTCGGATAGAAATGTATCCTGAAATAGCTACAACAATCAATTTTACAGCAACACAATCGCCCCCCTCACCTGCCCAGAGACGGTCGAGATCGAACCCTGCCAGTCCACGGAGAAGACCCAGCTGGTGCCCTCAGCACCAATGAGCCAGGAGCACGGCGCTACAGGCCACTTGTCTTCCCCTCGGCTGAAGCTGTCCATGGCTAATTTGAGTTATTAATTAAATTACATGCTTAACGAGTGTATTTTATCCCCCGCCCCAACGCTTGAGCAGCTGACAATCTAAAGACATGGTGAAGTAAGAGATTCATTCCTTCACTGCTTTCCTTGCGAAAGGGCCTGGAGGTGGAAGAGGAAGGGGAACCATGAAACTACAGCATAAAAGGCAATTTTAGTGAACAGCGACCAGGGGAAATCGTGCGTCTCCAAGGAGCCCTGCTGAGCACCTTCCAGCTGCTGCTGCTGTAGCAATCACTTCCAGCAGGACTGCAGCAGATAAGAGCCGGCTACAGCGCGGGCTGCACAGGCGGAGGGAGGGGCCACTCCTGAGCTCTCACTCCGGGCCGCCAGCTTGTCCGAGGGGCGTCCAGGCCTCCCGCAGAGCCAGCATTCCCATCGGGAACGACACAGGTGGGAGGCACACGGCGCCGGCACCAGTTCCAGATGCCGCTGATCTCGTTACTTCCCGCTGGAAGCGCAGGGGCGGGAGGCTCGTGGGAAAACGGCTGCTGTGCCCGACGCGGCCATGGAGGGACAATGTGTCCCCACACTGCTGGGAACGTGGGCTTCGGTCTGACTGTGAAGCCCTACGAAATGCCCAGACCCCACAAAACATTCCAGCTTATATTGTCAGCAGATAAGCTGCCTGCATTTATTGCGAATGTGCTATAGTATGTTTTTAATTAATATTTAAAATTGCTGGTTTAATTGAATGTCAAATAAACAAGCCCACTGCCCCATGTAAAAGGAGTTTCGAAGTGATGGGATTTCTCTCAAACCACACTTGTTATTTCCTGGAAACCAGTTCATAAATCAGTGTCATCTTTTATTTTGTAAGAAACTAATCAAAAGACATGCCAATAGAATAAAAAAAATACATTATTAATAAACTGAGACTATGGCATTCATTAAGAGACGTGGCCGGATGTCTCCAGACATGTACAAACACAAACCCTGCGCCGATGTTGTTCAGAGACAAACAGACCGAACGGAGTGACAGACCGAGGGGCAAAGTCCAGGGCAGGTGGGGAGGGTGCAGGATGCAGCTGCGCAGCTGGAGCAGACGCCTGCGAAGGAGGGGCCGTCCTGCGGCAGACGGGGCGGCGCTGAGCAGAGCTCGGCTCAGGCACCGCTGCAGCCGTCCCAGCAGGGCTTGGCTTGGCAGCTCCAGCAGCGTCAGGCAGATGTGCAGCAGAATGTGAATGTGGGCACAGCAGCAGGGCGAAATCAGCGCTTCACTCTCAGCTAACAGAAAAATGATTAAGTGTGTGAAGTATGCTCAAGTTCTAATGTCATCCGAGAACACCCTTCGATAACAGTATATTTATAGTATACTATTAAAGAGGGTGATGGGGCGACATTAGAATTTCAGAATACTTAAAAAAAATATTTTGATATGTTTAAAAGGCCATAAAGGAGCCTATGCATTAGTCTAATACTAAAGGGGGAGACTGCAATTCAAGGAGCTCGGCAGTGGGCAGGCAGAAACCATCTGGGTTGAGAGACTTGCACTGGGATGAAAATATCCCACTCTGAGCAAGAATGTACAAGAAACCAGGAGGAAACGATCTTGGGTGGACAATGAATTCATAGGACCCCCATTGCTCCTCTGAACTCGCTTCCAAATTGAATTGAAAAAAGAAGGAAAGAACGGTACATCGCTGTGATTGCCTCACTCCTTCCTCTCCTGCATAATAACGCTCCTACTATAGATAGCAAGGCCCTGCTGCTACAGGCTACAGTAGGATTGTTCTGTCTTCGACTCCCCTCTGCCTTAATTACTATACCTGCTAGAGTGGAATAACACCCCAGAGATCCCACTGTGCAATTACTGTTCCACTGCAGAGGTGGCTAACAATCACTGCCTTTTCAGGCTGCACACTTACAGAATGAGTCTAATTAGCAAGAACTGCAGCATTTGATCTGTAAGGCCTTCTACCCATAGAGCCTAGCACACCAAAAATAACATTAAAAGCTTTAGGAGACGTTTCGAAAAATCTACACAATAATATATATATAGAGAGAGAATTTTACAAACACTTTTTTTAAAAGAGAAACCTAAATAATACTGAGACGTCAAGTAGCTCAGTGATTTTTTAAATGATCCGGAAATGTCAGGAACACAGAGCCCTTCATCAACAGCGGCAACGGATACATTAGCAACATCACAATAATTCAAGTATGTTCATATGTTCAAGGTCTAAAGTCCAGAGGTGTACTCTCCAACACAGGTGTTTTCCTTTACACACGCAGTATGTCAACACCACAGACTAGATCTTTAACATTTGTTGCTGTATTTTGTACACATTGCCGTCCACAGCACTGTGATTAAGTGTTCAGTAGGCTTGGTTTCGATGTGGCATTTCTGTGAACAATCTATGAACAGACAGGAAGGCAAAAACTGCCACGCTGCCCTTGTTCAGTGTGCACAACATTTCTCCACTGTCGCAGGCCAGAGGGAGGGAGACTCGACTGCAGCAGCTCCCTCAGGGAGAGTATTAAAGAGAGCTGCTTCGAAGGAGAAACCTCTGCGAGTCCACTGGGAAATCAGCCAAGATCTTCAAGCTGCTTCACACATCCGGCGATACAGGCCGAGCGTGTGAGTGTGTGCAAGCTGCAGGAAGACAATCAGTCACTCAGACAGACTTCTTTCTCAAGAAGCATGCTGTAAAATGTATATTTTATGGCGCTGTGGGATTTTTCAACACAATGAAAAGGGAAAGCCATTTGTATTACCAAGATGAGGCGTATGTGATCCTTGTTGCAGGACAGAGAGATGTGTAGGGAACACAGCGGAGGACCTACAGAGGTAGAATGGTCTACAGAGAGAGAAAAACACATAATGAGCACGGTCTTGGGGAGATCATACATTTGCGCTTTCATGGCAATTATATTGTCTTAACATGTACCCAGGGTGCCAAAGTGCTGCCCATCCTTCTTGAGTCCCCTGAGGCATTTCAGAGGAAGTGGGGTCACAACAACAAAGTCCTGTTTATAAATAAGCCAAATAAGCCATTTGATCATTTTATGTGAATACAAAGGCCGTCTGACTCCAGTTTGCTTCTTTAGCGGTTTCTTTTTCAAGAGAACATGGAGGCAAAGACGGGTGTACAAAATAGTATCAGGAATTTAAAATCACGAGAACAGATAGCCGAGGAAGGGATACAAATCAGTGCAGCTCACAATGGGTATTTTTCTATGGTTTCTATTGTACAGAACTATACGCATTTGTATAGAGAGATCTTGGATTGGAAAAGGACATATATGAATAAGATAAAGTACAAGAGTGAACATGCTCAGTGAAACGTTTGATTAAATCCCTTTTGTCAGTCCAAGATTTGTTTGGGATATGGTTGAAAAAAGGTACTTTAGAGAATGGAAGAGGATTATGCACTTAAGTCCCATAAATCTCCACAATAGTTAAACAATTTGTGGAGCAAGTTGTTAAACCTTCACAAAATACCAGGATAAGACTCTTGGATCAGCTAGTTCCAAGCATCCAAGGTGACCTCACCTTTCGAGACAAACGCAATGCAAAGTGTGGCACAATGGCAAAACACATCTGAAGCCAGGGAATTCCACTGCAGCACAGCACACAGACCGTGCGAATCTGCAGGCAGACAACTGCTCCAGTCGACTGAGGGAGGGGAAGAAAGCTAAAGAGAATGCTTTATACAGACTGCAGGAAGCAAACCCTGGATACAGCCACAGCTGAAAGACCACTTGAGCTTGAACAGGTCAGTACCAGTTTTCCTGAAAGGGTTAAAATATATCACTCTCCTGCTGACCCCTGGTCAGCGAGCACAGACCTGGCTGTTGCTGAACTGCTTGTGGCCTGTCACCCTGGCCTGGGCTGACCAAAATGCCCATGAGCAAACACTGGACAAAGAGCATTGCTGCCCAAGGCCTCTGGGCTTATTTGCTATCCAGACAAGAGGTCACTGTAAACACAGCAATTTCCATGAAAAACACTAAATCTGGATGCTGCTACACAAGACTGGGAATTTCCACAAAGAGATCAAGCAAAGCCATTAGCCAACCACACACTATCTGTTTGGCTAGTAAATACCTTCCCCCACCAGATAATTATTGTTTGGCTTACTGAAAATGCACTAACAAAAATAAACACCTGCTTCACCTCACGATTCCAGGCAGGGATATTTACCTGCCAAAAGACAACAAAATGCCAGAGGAAATCTGCTCCAAACAACTATTTTATTAGATATGGCACTTGAACTGAAACATCACATTACATAGGTAATAAATACATAGGTACATAAATGACTACACGTGCATCCCTGTACCCGCACACAGCCGCGGCAGCAATCACAATATTCCAGGGACATGGGGAAGGGATGCAGGATTTACAGCCGAAAATAAGGTTGGGATGAGGGTGTTTTTTTTTCCAAATTTCGGAACATTTTATGCTGTCATATGCAATTCATATGACAAATATTCTAAACGTCAGAGAGAAACTGTCCAGCAATCTTCCAGAGCATTCTTGTTTTCAACACAAAACTCAGAGAGAACTAATCTGCTTTAGGTCAAACTACAGATGAGCTGCTTAGCAAAAGATAAACTACAGATAATCAAAGTGGTCACAAGCTAGTGGGTTCACAGAGAACAACTCTATCACAAGTGCACTGCACACAGCAGCATCGCTCAGAACAATAGCCAGCAGCACACCTAGGGACATCCTTCCTGAACTCAATCAGCGGAGCAAACCGACAGACCAGTCTCAATCAGCGGAGCAAACTGTGCTTTACAATCACACCCAGATGGCCGCTGAGCCTCCCTCAACCTCAATTTAACTCTCACACAGGCAGTTACCAGACTGAGTGCGCCGCAGGCAGCCAGCTCGAAATGGCTGGCAGACTGACCCGAAACCAAAATTTGGAAAAAAAATTCTCATTGAAAACCAAAGACTGTCAAACCAGCTCGGTTCACAACACCGACCCGACCCGGTGAGGAAACCATGTGAGCCCCAGCTCTAACCGGAGACTTCTGGACTCGCGGGCCTGGCCTGAACCCTGAGCGAGCTCCTGACATCACAGAATCCGACCCCCACCAGAAGAGCAATTACCGAACAGGCGCAGAAAATACACCACTGGAGCAAGCATGGCCCTCTGATCGCAAGTGCTGAGAGACAGATTTCAGCGACCGCAGGCTGCTTTGCATTGCAGCGGAGCGAAATATCTGCTACTCCACTGCAAGAGTGAGCAGCGGAGAAAGGGGACGGTCGGCCAGAAGGCACAGCGCCGTGTGCATCGCGGAATCAGATAAAATAACCCCACACGGCCTCGGTCTACACCACTGAAATCTGAGATACGTCTAACTGCAGCACTGACTGGCAGCGATTTAATAAGATAACGATACATAGTCCTTGTTGTATGAATCAGTATGGCATGCACAGCAATAAGTAAAAAATCTGGCATAAAACCTCCAGGCCATTCAAAACATTTCTCTTCCCCGAACGTCCTGATTAATATTCCAGATAATCACACAGGGGTTTTTTTTTTACAGCAAGATCACAAAAAAATACATCAGTACATTTCAATAATCCTCTTGGGTCAGGCTGCAGCATTGGCTGCTCTTCAGTGGACGACAAAAGGTTGAGACAAATCCCAGTACAGCATTCTGAAAGAACAAAACCCATGCTGCTGCAATACAGTGTGAAGAATGTATATGGGGCACCCTTGGAGACAGATTGATAATCTTGTCATCTCTGAACCATCAGCCTCTGTAAGCTCCTACTGAATCTGGCTTTGGTTTTAAAGAAGATTAAAGTGTTTCTCTAAAAGTCAAAGGTCTATTACATGCTAGATGTCCGAAAGCATGCAGATTGAGGGCTTTCAATCCACATCCCTTGGTCTGTACATAATACTGCCTGTTACCAAACCACACAAGCTGTTGCCTGATTTGGAAATTGGGAAATCTCCATCCCTGTTAAAGGGAAACAGGTCAGGCTTTGCATGACACAGCAGTCCACTTCATCTCAGGACTCAACAGTCCCAAGCTCCTGTACCGATTGTCCGAAAGAGTAAGGACATACTGTACTCTCCCCGAACAGCATTTCCCCTGTGGGGCAACAGCTTGCCTTTGCCTGTACCGCTGTTCCCAGTATAGACGAGTCAAACAACTGGGTAGCACAGTGGTCAGCATTGCTGCCCAGCAGCGCTGAGGCCCTGGGCTCAATCCCGGACCGCAGGGCGCCGTGAGTGTGGAGTCCGTATGTTCGCCTTGCGTTGGTGTGGGTTTCCTAGATATGCTTGGGTTGTTTTAACATGCTCCTATGCAGAACCTATGGCAGCAGAAACTCAGGAAAGCAGGCCAGGCAGAATGAGCGTGACCTGTGGGTCCCAAGCTCATGAAAACCACAGCTGCAAAGCCTGCAGACACAGCCGAACTCCCAGCCGCAGGAGTGAAAGGCCTCAGAAAGCCCAGGGACATGCTGGCTCTCAGCCTCATATCCCAGACAGACAGCATCGCTAACCAGCACAGGTCTCTTTAAAAAAAAAAACCCTGCTGTCTTGTAAAGTAATATTCTGTCACATTCAGCGTGACACCCAAATAGCCCTGTGACAGCACCTGTCACACTAATAAATCTTCCTTCCAATATGTTCATGCTGGCAACTGTGATTAAATTATGATATCGGTCCTTAACAAGGGCCCAGCAAGATATTCCATAACAAATTAGACAGCAAAAAGAGGCCACACAACCACCTCTCGCATGGAAATAAAACTGAAATTACGTGCCTTTAACATAATAAACTGTCCCCGAGGGCCCTCCTGCAATTAAAATCACTGCTCTGAGCACAGCCCGCGCCAATGAGATGGTCTGTTCAAGTGCTAAAGGACAGGTTATTAACCCACAAGCAGGGAGAGAGGCCGGAGCCCCACGGCAGAAGCGTGTGCCTGGACGCCAGTCCCACTTCCTCTCCACAGAGCTGCCAAGCAAACCGCCAACGACAACAAAAACTTCAAAGGACTTGTCCTCCCATTCACGGTTAAAACCTACAATCAAACAAAACAAAGCGCGGCTCTGCAAAGTCATGAGCTGAAATAAAAGCAGCAGACAGAAATGACATTTTAAAACCATTAAACTAGCAATTACAAGACAAATTGCAGGCTCTAGGAGAAAGTTTATGCTGTTTTGTTTTACAAATCAGTCCCAGTTTACAAAAAAAGTCCCACAAGATTTTTATTTTTCAACACTTGCTTGACCTGAAATAGCCTGCAAGAAAACCTCAAGGTGACTGCAGGGTCAGCCTGGGCAGCTGGCGTGCTGAAATGTGATGCACGACGCGGGGGTTTAATTATTTTCCACAACGTGCTGACAGCCCTGATTCGACAAGTCTTCTGAACAAGCACATCACACAAGGAGGGTCATCAACGAGGAGTCCATTCAGTCCATCGAGCCCGTTTGGAAGTAAATTGATTCCAGCTTCTCATCCAGCGGTTTCTTGAGAGAATCCAGGTTCAACAACAGGGCTGGGGAGTTTGTTCCACACTCCTACATCTCTTTGGGTACAGAATACCTCCTGTTCTCCGTTTGAAATGCACCTTCGCATATGTTTCCACTTGTGTCCGCTGGCTCATGCTTCGCTGTTCATTCTGGAGAAATCTGCAGCGTTGATTTTGTCGGCGCCTTTAAAGGTTTTTGAATACTATACCAGATTCTAAATCCCCAATCAAAATTAGAAGAGCAGTGGTCCTAGCAGAGATCCCTGTGGTACACCACCTCTATATCACTTCAATTTCAGCCTTCATTCCTCGTACTAGCCATTCTCGTTCAATCACCCTGTGCTTTGTTTTCTAC